AATAAAGTTATAGCTAATCCTTTAGATAAATCCAATCATATGGTAATATCCAATCTCCCTGCACTATTCAATAACCCAGTTATATCCAATAATAAAGTTATAGCTAATCCTTTAGATAAATCCAATCATCCTGCTATATCCATTTTTGTGCGCATACAACTCTTGCTATGTTTTAACCACCAGTTAAACCTGTAACTCTAGCTGAGCTCAGACCAACCAATTTTGCACATTTGTACTTTTGGTATCTTGCATACGTATTGTTTGAATCACTGACATTCTTCCCCACCACCAGGCTAACTAAAAGACAAGCACAAGCAGGGGACAATGGACTCCAGTGTGAAGACTCTTATGCCAAGGTGTTCGCCCCATGTGACCAGAAACAATTCTTTGTGTGTATGTTTGAAATGAAAATTGAATATCCAGGCCCCATCCACTGTAAGTCGGGCATTGTATCCACTTTATGTTGTTGTGTGTACTTAAAGATACACAGCTTAAGACATAAAACCCAATTTATGTAAGCAAAATCAGAAAATTCACATCCTTTGAGATATTTGCACCATATTGGACTTTACAAATATTACACTGCTAGTTGAAGTATTTCAGTTCTTTTCAGTAAGTACAACTGAAGGTTGATGAAAGGGGTAAGAGAATTGGAGATCATAAGTGTAGGTGTTTTTAAGTTCATGGGATAGGAAGGAATGTGGAGACGATAATGGCTGGTAAGGGGGAAAGTAAAGTGATACCTACACTTAGAGTCAGGCTGAAAGGTATGAAAAGTAAGGTGCAAGAAGGAGAGTTGAGTGAAGGAGCTGTTTTATGGGGTTTGAGCTTAGTTTGATCAGGAATAGAGTTAATTTGTGATGAGGGTAGTTGTTAGGGATTTAGTGAATTACAAGACTGTAGGAAAGACATTTTATATTAAATCCACTCGAATAGTTGTTGGTTGGGAAAGGAAACTTTGACCTACATGCTTTAGGATTCTGTTTTTAACAAGCATAACAGGATCCTGAAATAAAAGACATGTATGGCACAGCCAAAAATGATGGCGCTTGTGAGTAAAGGATGATCTATTAAAGATATATAAAGCTTGATGCCTCTTATAGATAGGATTAGTATAACTTATAACTAACATCATTTGATTTTTAAAACTTTTTTTTTTTTTACCACAGACCAAGGTAGTATTCCTACAGTACGATATGAGAATTTTCCCGTGGATTTTTACATGTCTGAAGAAAGTGTTCCATTTGATGAAAAAGATGGAGCATGCAACAGAACAATTCAAAATGGAAAAGCTTTCAGGCAAGGGAGATATTCTTTACCTTTTCTAAACAAGGAAACTATTTTTTGTAAACATGTTAGATTGGTAACCCAAACCATAAACACTTAGTTACATCAAGGAGTTGATCTAATATAAAGGCTTCAGTAACCAAGCACATTTGTTAGTGACTGATTACATAATAATGTAATATATGCTGATAATGAATTGAGATTTTTATCTGTGCTCACCACTGATGATTAAAAACTATAAACGTTACTGAGTTTTCAAGGTAGATATGTCATCTACTGTCTCAATCTTGATTAATGTTGTTGACAGTCTTTGGAATTGTAAAGAGGGATGTGGTCATAACTATATGCAATCCTAGCTTATTTAAAGTTGATAAACCTCAGATCTCTGGTTGTCAAACTTCCTGGATGAAATGCATCATCTTGTTGGGAAACAGCGTGAGGTGCTAGTTTCCTGGTCGTGTTGCTTTGGTGCGCGACCCACTTTATGACACGTCAAGCCAAGAAACAACTGCTTGGCAATCAAAGAAGAGAGATGGACGCCTCTCCCTACAGTTTCCCAATTATCCCCTGCTCAAAGAGAGTTGTTGAAACTATTAAATGATATAATCATCTTAAAAAACTTTATACCCAGGAGTGTTGCCCACATAAACACTGGGCTAGTAATATAAATATTCAGATTTCAGATAGCCATTTAAATATGCATTAAACCAAATAAACATTTAGCTAGCAATATATAAACATTCAAAACACTTTCAGATATCCAAATAATGTAAACAACTAGTTATATCATTGTCAAGATGACTACTTACCATGAGAAAAGCTTTGGTAGGCACCTTACTCACCCCCAACCCTGGGAATGAGCAGATAATTCACATCTGTTTCTATTTCAAGGGCGACCTGTGACTATGAAAGAAAGATCCTCTTCGCATTGGGGGACACAGCATATTTTCTTCGCTACATTAAAAACATAACAGAACTCCTTTGGCTGGACGCTGGAGATGTCAACAACTGTAGCGCTGATACTGCTTACCTTACTAAAATTGTAAGATAGTATCTCATACTTTTTAAACATTTGTAAAAGTTTTCATTTTGTCTCAATGTTAAATAATATATTTAGACCAAGTAAAGGTAAAGATTCATGTATTCTGTGCTCTCCTGGTGTGTGGATGCATGCTTTACCTGTACTTATAATCTTGTTCTTTTTACATTTCAGTTTTTAAAGTAAAATTACTTAATATCAGATTCCCAGTCCAAGGTTTTTTTAAATAATTCATCATGCAGTAACAATTTATAAGTCAACTGAGGTCACAGTCTCAAACATAGTGTGGGGCGAGGGGTCGGTGCCCCGGCCGGCAATTTTTTGGGGATGGCAAATTAGTTTTTTTCGATATATTGTTATTTGAAAAGTAAATTTTATTTGAAATTAAAAATTTGGACTAAGGAAAATATATTGATAGACAATACTATCTGCTTAGTCATGAATCATATTATCAATCCTTTGCTTCCCTCTTGCTAGCTAGAAATGGAATTTCAAAGCAAAATTTGAGTGAATTTTAAAAAATCAGAAGAAAAAGCGCAAATCTAATTTACATTGAGATGTTTGGTCTTTGCTCGCAGTTATCCATGTTAATTAGCATGAATGGATAAGATTGCAGGGGTGACTGCAATTTTAACAAAATGCAAGTTAGATAGATTTTGCACATTTCGATTTCTTAACAGATCATAGTTAAATACAATAGTAGGGTGCCACTAGAAAACGGTGTCATTAAAACAGGTTGCACCATCACATCTGGGGAGCATTCCATAAGATCAATGGAGTTGTTAAAATTTTTGGGAATCACTGAAATACTATCATCTTTAGTGGCTTCGTTGTGATATGGCAGTAAGCAAAACAGATCAAGTAAATGGTGTTTGCAAAAATTCTGGTTCAATTGTTCAGCTGTTGACCTGTGGTACCTGCTTAGCCGTCATCACATTTTTTAGTTAGTTTTGAGGAGCTATTTAACTAACTGATGGTTGAAACTTCTGGTCCAGATTTAGTGAGAACGTGGCAAAATTCAACATCATTTACATAAATGTTAGTAATGATAAGCCTGATCATGTCTGCTCTACCAGTTTTGGATTACTTCAACACCACCTTTCTTTATGCGGAAATGACATTGAGAATATTATCTAGAAGAGTTAATGATCTTTTGTAGTGTTACTGGGTACCACATTCAGAAGAATGGGATAGCATTTGGTGTACCGTACATTGTCTTGGCAATGTATGTATTTAAGGAGAAAATTGCTTTAACTTAATATGTATTTTTCTTGCTCTAGTGTAAGTTCAAGTTTGGTTTTTGTTATCGGAAGCAATTAATGCACCTAATTATGATTTCCTATTCACGCATCTACTGATAAATTATCAGGATATTGACCAAAAATTAATTAGGCTACTGATGCTGAAAAAGAAATAATTTCCTGGTATGCTTAGTTTCCGAAATTGTGTATCTTTGTTTGATGACAATGTTCCAACAGTGGTTAAGGCGAATTTGGTTCAGTTGAAGCTGGAATAAGACAAAGGTGAAGAAGAGGAAGGAAAGGTACATTAATAAACATGTATCCTTGAAGAGCCTGCGGTCATCAACACAGTACAGTTGTCATCTTTTGTAACTCTTAATACATAATTTTTATTTACAAGATTTTATTATTAGCACCGATTAGCTCGACTAAGAGGCTCAAACTTAGAAGGATGATCCTGTTTTCAAAAGTGAAATTGAAATAAATGAAAAGGCAGTTGTGAAAGACGTTGCAGAAGAGAGGTGTGAAACTCATTTAGCATTAAATCATTTCTTAGGAACAAAAATAATGTTTAATGATCATTCATAGTTGTAACCATTGACCCTGTTGTTGGTGATACAGTGGTGATGGTGAACTAAGTCTCAGACAACTGAATAACTGTCACTGCCACGTCAAGACATCATCAACTTAAAGTTAAAATGAATCATCGAAGCACTTGGTGTAACTAATCACTGGCACTTTATTTCAATAATACTGACTATACATAATCAACTAACAACTTCATTTATAGTACAGGATATCTTTATATATTCACTGTTGTGTTGATTAATTATCTTTACCATTGTCCTCACATTATTACCCAAATTATTGTAGCTCAGAATAATTGCACGCTCTTTCCGACATGTATGTCTACACTCATCCGGTTATATCTATTTATTATTGTTGTCCCTGATTATACATAACATCAAATATACTGTTACAATAGTATTAGTGTAGCATCTTTTACTTTCCCACAGTATGAACATGAGTACATGACTCTGCCATGCAGCTGGTCTCTAAGAGTTTTTTGTCAACTGAACAAGTTATACAATGGTGAGTGCAGGGTTGTGAAAGGGTGGAGCTGAATGGAGCGGCTCCAAAAACAGTGGGTGGGGGGCTTATAATTTGTCAACATACATACACACACACTATATCATTCATTTATGAAGTGATTGGGTGCCATTTTAATGATTCCCCCCCCCCACACAACCAAAATTTTTTTTTTTCTCATGTAATCAATTTCAAATTCTCAGAAAATTGTTTCAACACAAAAAATTTTCAACACATGTTTTTAACACAGTATCACCTTGATGTGATCCCTCATTTTCAGACACACCCCCTCCAAAATTGCAAATCACAGCCAACTGGCCACGTGTGACTTTAAGCAGCAGTGAAATCCAAGCTCCTTCAGAACTTGTACGTCAGTTTGCGGGCAACAATTATGCTGACACAGACTCCATCCAAAAGAACGTCTCTATTGAATGTGTTACTTCCATAGGACTGGTACGCTTGTTTTTTTACTAAGCTTCTTTAAAATCCAAAAGTGTACTTTTAAAAGGGTTTCTGGAGGAAAAAATATGTTTTACCATAAAGAAATAACTTTGGAGGGGGGCGGGGGTGTTTGTGGGAATTAAAGACTTACATGTCAAGGAGTTGTGATTATTTAAGTCTGGACGCTGAATTTTCTTAGGAAAGTGTCGATTACGATAAGATAATCATTTTTAAAATAATACCATCAACTCATTGATGGTTAGTGGAATCAAACAAAGTGCAATAGGTATATTTGTTACCTAGCATTATCGTGTGTTACACCTCAGAGGGAGACATTTGATGAATTTCTGAATAGTTCAAACAAATTTTTGTTAAAACTTATAAAGTCTGTCTCAATAATTTTTTTTTCAATCCTTCATATGCATTTGATATGGGAAAACAAAACCTTTAGCTCTCTTTCTGGGATGCCAATGATCATCCTCTAATATGCTAGTGGTCGTCCTCTCTAAAATGCCTGTGGTTGTCCTCTGATATGTCAGTGGTCATCCTCTAAAATGCCTGTGGTTGTCCTCTGATATGCCAGTGGTCATCCACTTACATGTTAGTGGTCTCCCTCTGATATGGCAGTGGTATAACTATGCTATGCCAGAGGTCATCTGGCACCCAGATCCATAGCGGAGAAAATTAAACTGAACTTGGTGATTCTGCGTAGATTACTAGATCTCATTATGAACATCCACATTGTTACAATAAGCTGAGAGTTTCTGTTTGCATTTAGTAAAATATACTTTAATAATCTATTCTGAAATATGATGGCCTAGTTTGAAAACAAAACAGAATTTTACCCTGCTATAATCAGTTTCAGACAGTGACGTTGTACAAAAATGGGCCTCCAGTTTCCTTTCACAGCCTTGTGCCGCATCCGGGCCTCTTTTTTAATTTTTCCGTACAAGAGGTAAGTATCAACATAGGACACTTTTCTAAATGCATAGGGCCTAAGTTAAGGATCTAAGGCAAGAATTTACTAATTTACGAAAAAAAAATTGTTTCGCTAATATTTAAGTGAAGATACGGGTACGCTAATTCATTGTAACATAATTCAAATGTATAAAATACTGTAAACAGAAGGTTTCTTTATCTAAAGCAACTCTCTCTGTCCTTTTAGTGACACTGACGAATTTTAGGATCTTGTTTAGGAAAGTCTTTAAGATTATTCTTTTTAAACCTTTCATTACCGCTGGTTTTGTCATCGATTTTTGCTGACTCTGTATTTTTTGGCTTTTTCACCAACTTTGAAATACCAAGCAATCTAATTAGCGTTTGATGTAAATTTAATATGCAAGAAATGCCCGTAATTAATGTTAATGTAATGTATGCAGTTAAAAACTCAAAGAAGAAACTTTCTGTATTTTCATTCTCTATCTCATTTGCTTATTAATTTCTCTATACATTGAAGAACACAAGAAATATGTAGCATTGAAATTATGACATCAATGTGACGTCCTTGGCAATTCAGAAAAGTGCTTTGCCTCTTTGTTATGACACAGTGTGACATCTTTGGTAAATGAAAGTGGGTGATCGCTGTCGTAAATGCGACGTCAGCACTAATGAATTGGTTAATTAAGTGATTGTTCAATCTTAAAACAAAGTCCATAACTCTTATTATTAGTTACCACATTTTCCGACATATAAGATGACTGGGCATATAAGACGACCCCTTACATTTTCTGTTATAACATAGTTTTGGGCCGTATACCAGCTTATAAAATGACCCCCGGCTTATAAGATGGACCCCCCCCCCCTGACTTTTGAAAAGATTTTCATGGGTTAAAAGTCGTCTTATATGCCGTAAAATATGGTAATTTCATTTTAACAAAAACAACTCTAGTTCTTGGCCCTTAAAGGGTTAAGAATAACTGTTAAAAATAAATTTAGTATCACCTCAGGCCATATCAAGTGAAACTGGGGAATATCTTGGGAGATGAAGATGATAAAACTAGTGCAAGGAAAAAAAAACAGTTTTATAACATCATTTTTATCAGGTTAAGATTTACAGAGATTTTTTTTGCATTTGAACTCTATAATCATGTATCCCATGAATTCTTTTAGCTTAATCCAACATGATTCTTTTAGTTTACCCTGACATGATTCTTTTAGTTTACCCTGACATGATTCCTTTAGTTTACTCTGACATAATTCTTTTAGTTTACCTTGACATGATTCTTGTAGTTTATCCTAAAATGATACTTTTACTTTACCCTTACATGATTCTTTTAGTTTACCCTGACATGATTCTTTTAGTTTACCCTGACATGATTCTTGTAGTTTACCCTAAAATGATACTTTTACCTTACCCTTACATGCTTCTTTTAGTTTACACTAACATGATTATTTTAGTTTACCCTAACATGGTTCCTTTAGTTTACTCTGACATAATTCTTTTAGTTTACACTAACATGATTATTTTAGTTTACCCTAACATGGTTCCTTTAGTTGATCCTAACGTGATTCTTTAGCACAAATTTTTAAAAGCTGGTTCTACAATTATTTTTTTTAAAAAAGGGATGCAATTGTATATTGTGAAAATACAATTCTGTTTCATCACTAATGAAATAGTATTTCAATATTTCACACAGTATGATTAATCTGTCTCTAAGGTTTCTGACATCGATTTCAACCAATACTTTCACTGTGAGGTTAATGATCTTAAATACGGATCCATCCAACAGTCAGAATTTGCCTTTTTACGCCTTACAGGTTAGTTTTTATGAATGTGTAGTGCTTGAACAGTTATATAAATAAAGCTTTAGGAAAAACTGGATGATATGTTCAACAACTGGCGGCTCTAACAAGTAACCATGACCTTGCCATTCTCCCAGCTAATGAAAATTTGACCGATTTAATTCAAAGATTAAACATATTCTAAAACAGTAAGTTAACTCCAAATGGGCAATAAATTAAAAAGATACCTTCTAATAATTTTTTTGTTTCAAATTTCTTTTAACGTTTTTGTGTGAAAAATATCATTTTATTTATAATTTAAAAAGAAATAGTCAATAAAGACCGGTTTTGAACTTTTCCTAATTTTTGCTTTAAAAAAAAAATAGTACATTCTCTAAATTTATTCTGATGTTAGCTATTTAAATAAACTGAATGCGGATTTTAAAATACCTTTAAAATACTTTAAAAATGAATTGGTCATGTTAGCTATTTAACTTAATTTAGCTTACACTTTAGTTGAAAATGAAAATACATTCTTAATACAGGTACACAAACATTTAAGCACCTCATAACTTCCTATTAGAGCAGCCGTTCTGAACCTGTGAGTCGTGACCTCTTTGGGGGTCAAATGACCCTTTTCCAGGGGTCAACCAAGACCATTGGAAAAGACATATGCTCATCAGTTATGAAGTAGCAACAAAAATAATTTTGTGGTTGAGGGTCAACACAACATGGGGTACTGTATTAAAGAGTCACAGCATAAGGAAGGTTGAAAACCACTGTATTAGAGGAAACATTCTCACCAGTATTTAATACAAGTTATTGCTCCCCCGAAAGCTGCTTTGTTAATTCCTTTAGTAATAGAATAGTTTTCCTTACACTAACAACCAAAAGAAAAGATATTTGATATACATTATTGACTTGACCAGATCTTAGTTATAAAATGCAATCTCTTATTTTAACCAGCTGACTAGACTAGATATTTGTTAAATAATGTTCCATATCACCAACTGACTCGGACATACATTTTTCATTTTTCTCAGATTACGAGATCTATTCACTGCACATTGACCTGATGTCCAATGACATGGCAGACAAACTTGCTGTGGTCATGCTCAAGGCTTCATTACTAAATCAATGGGCTCCTCAAACCTATGATCCCAATTTCAACAATCATTCAATTAATCCAAATTTATCATTACCTTTACCATGCTCATCAAATGGGTCAACCCTTGTTGACCTCCAGTGCAACCTGGATGAAGTTGTAAAGCCCTTGCAGAGTTGGCAGATAAAACCAATGCACTTTACGTATGTTCTTTTGTATACCAGTATATATGAACTTAAAAATGTTTTTTAGCTTTACTTTTACTCAACATTGTTTTTTTAGCTTCACTTCACATCGTTTTTTAGCTTCACTTAACATTGCTTGTTAGCTTCACTTAATGTTGTTTGTTAGCTTCACTTAACATTTTTTGTTAACTTCACTTAACATTGTTTGTTAGCTTCACTTAACAGTGTCTAGCACTACTTTTAATTTTTAGCTTTGTCAAAAAAAAATATGTATAAGAATTAATGAAATTTCGCGTTTTTTTATATTTATATTTTTAAAAATTGAAACAAAATGTAGGCTTCTTTTTTTCATTTCGCCAATGCAACTCAAACATCTACCTTAAAATGTTTTTAATATTAAGACTCTATTATTGATCTAAATAAATAAGGTTTGGATTGCATTGTTCATATTCATTTTCAGTTTATTGATAAACTTAATGATAAAATAATTTAAAAATTTTTACACTAAAGGAAAACCTTTAAAATTTGAAATATTTTAATGTTGAAATGATGAAAAAACAAATTAATTAAATATTTATTTATTTATGTATAGAAAATTCACAAAAAGGGAAACTATAATAAAAGCTAAATGAAAAATATCCCTACTTTAAAAAAAATTATTTCTTATTCATATTAGAAACATTTCATATTGTTTTAATATTTTAATAGACTATGCATAGCAAACATGTTAAAAAAAACTATATATATTCTTATTATAGGATATCTCTCAATGTTGACAGAAAAAGTCTTGTGGCGTATTTGTACCAGAAGATCTCTGATGAAACACATACCATTGAAGATATGAATGAGACCAAGCTGGTGCTGGCATCCAGAGCCATAACAAACCTTTTCAAAAAGGTATTATTCCAACTCACCTATTTTTCTTCTGATGTAAATTATTATTTTATGGAAATCTTTTTCAATGCAATTGGATCCTAACTTAGATCTTAGGGATCCCTGACTATGTCTTCCATTGGAACGAATTGACAAGGATGAGAGAGTAAGGCTGATGACTTTAGCAAATCTCCCTCACTTTAAATGAAATACAGCTCACGTTAAGGCCACTACTCAAGTCCAAGCTTTGATCATCTTCATACATGAAGGGCAAACAATATTCATTAATTGTGTCATCTCATCTCACTTGTAGCCTAGTACAGTTCTCCCATGTTCATATGTTCAACCCCTGTCTCACTTCCTCTGCTCATTTCTCTAATGTCCATTTATTCAGCCCCTGTCTCACTTCCTCTGTTCAATTCTTCAATGTCCATTTATTCAGCCCCTGTCTCACTTCCTCTGTTCAATTCTTCAATGTCCATTTATTCAGCCCCTGTCTCACTTCCTCTGTTCAATTCTTCAATGTCCATTTATTCAGCCCCTGTCTCACTTCCTCTGTTCAATTTGTCAATGTCCATTTATTCAGCCCCTGTCTCACTTCCTCTGTTCAATTCTTCAATGTCCATTTATTCAGCCCTTGTCTCACTTCCCCAGCTCATTTCTCCACAAAACTTCTCATGTATCTTTTTGTTAATTTAAAAAAAAATTCTTCCCAGATCTTTTTTATGTTGTTGATCTGTGCAATCACGTATTAAATACCAGTATAAAATTTGCCAAGGATATAAACTTAAAATGATTCTCTATTTTTTTTACTAACTTTCAGAGCCAGAAAAAACTTCCTCAGTTCAATGTCAGGTCAGTTCATGTGCGTAGCATCGACTGGTGCTGGTCTGTAACACTCTTTGACAGCATTACCAATGACAAATACACACTTCCCAAGTCTACCATGGGAACAGTCTGGAAGAGTCCAAATTTATGTGCAAGGGGTATTAATACATTTCAATGTTATTTATTAGCATTTCTTTAAAAAGTTTAAAGGAAGAGTCTTTAATAATTATTTCTTACTATAAATTTTATGTTTTTTAAATTTATTTATTTAGGCATTTTTTTTATAGCGTTTACCTTGCAGCTCTAAGTGCTTTATAATTGTTAAAAATATGTAAACTATAAACTGCTAAAGTAAAATAAAAAGGAAAAAACCAGAGACACTACGATGTGAATAATAAAATAATAATGTTTTACTACAATAATATTTGATACAATGTCCCTATAATTTCTGTGCAATGTCCTTTAAATGTCCTAACAACGTCTTAAATATCCTTACAGACCGTCAACCACTGGTGACCATTAAATGTGAGGGAGACAAGATCATTGGCCTATATTGGAGCAGTCGTGTAAACCCGCTCTGTGACTACTCAGCAAGCAAATACCAGAGAACTAATGTCACACACTCGCTACAAGCTGTAGCACAGGTCGGTTTAATTTTTTCACTGTCAAAGTTCCTGTCAAGCATTTTTTTGGTGATTTGTAAATATATCAGTAAGTTGGCAAAGCTCTTCTAATTCATAGTTTGCCTGATTATGATATTGGCGTCATTTTCTAAAACAACTTTATTTGAATACATTTAGTGCTTGGCAACTTTTCTGTGTGTCTCCTTCCATATTATTTGATCCATGGACGATGGACTTAAATTTCAAAATTGTGTTTGGGTGGTGGGAATCAGGGGAGGGGTGGAGTTGGTTTTTAATGAAGAAAATAGGGCTAACAGCTTCCTACTATGGTCCAGAGGCCAGAACAAGCCCACAAATGGTTCTTAACCTGGCTGTCCTGGTCATGAATTGGTTACCCAGATAGGAATGACATATACAAAATAGAACAGGGGTATTAGATGTATTGAGACAAAAGCAGGGCCATACTCCATTGATGTGCTAATGAAATGATGTTTGTTAAACTATCTCTTTTTTCAAAATTTTGTATTTTCCTGTTTTTTGTGCTTCAAATTAGATATTTTGAGTGAGCTAAGGAGTTAATCTAATTTTTTTCAAAACTCTAGCCAGCCCCCCAACAGTGTCTGTTGGACACTTAACTGGCCCCCATGACTATATAGTTTGAGGACCACTGGCCTGGCGATTTACTTTAAAAAAAAATATTTTAATCATTCATAAAAGTCATTTTATTGATAGGAATATATTATTTTATTATGTTTTTCTTTACATTTAAACCAGTCAAACATCACAAAAGTAAATGTTGAGGAAATTGTGAGCTCGACAAGACGAACAATCCTGGAGCTGGATATTAGCACGGTTATACCTGAAGATGTCGCTTATATCGCAGACATTCTCCAGAAGTCCAGTGATATCAGGGTTCATAGTCTGGCCGCTGTGCAAGGGATGCTCGATATTGCTGCTTCCTTGAGGAACTTCTCAGATCATGTCTTAGCAGAGTCCCAGAGATTAGGGAATGCCCCCAACAGGTTTGTACTCAGATGCTAAAATGTGTTTGTCTATGGAACAATACATTCTGAATAAATTGATGTGTCGAATTAATTACTTTTTATAAAATGACTATAGTCTTAATACCTAAATTCTTGGAATTTTATATGCTGATTTATAATTTAAACAGATGTTTAAAATTTAGTTCAATGATCAATAGCTCCACTTAAAAATATCTCCTCTTCTTTGTTTCATAGCTACAGATAAAATGTCTCCTCTTCTTTGGTTCACAGTAAAAGTTACAATGTCTCCTCTTCTTTGGTTCATAGTTCAAGTTAAAATGTCTTCTCTTCTTTGGTTCATAGTTACAATAGATGAAGTTAATATGGTTTTAATCTTCTTACCACTGTAAGTTTGATTTGTTTCAATAGCTATTTTAGACTATGATATGGAATGGGTGCTTTGAAATTGGTGTTATGAAATTAATGCTAAGATCAAGACAATATGAACTAGATGATATGAAATGGATAATGAACTGGATGATATGAACTTGATGAGATAAAATGTATGAAATGAACTAGACAATATGAACTAGATGAAATGAAATGAATGCTATGATCTGGATGATATGAAATGGATGATATGATCTAGATATGAAATGGATGATGATATGAAATGGAAGGTATGATCTGAAAGATATTAAATGGATGATATGAACTGGATGATATGAACTAGATGAGATGAACTAGATGAGATGAACTAGATGATAGGAACTAGATGATATGAAATGGATAATATGAAATGGATGATATGAAATGGATGTTGTGAACTAGATGATATGGAATGGATGATATGATCTGGATGATACGAACTAATCTGTATTGATATGGCATTTTTTGTTTTGAATTTAGAATTTTAAAGAGCCTCGATCAGTTAGGAGGTAAGGTTGACATTGGGCCTGAGAAATATTACCAGCGAATAACTTCCGGTGGTGTCGGCCTGGAAGTTTGGGACCTTAGCCGTATCAATGACAGTACATTTGTTGTGGGAATTAAGGTATGTATTGTTATGATTTAAACTGCGATGAGCTTGAAACTGTATTCTCTAGTTGATACAGAATAAAATGTTACAACTAAATTGAGTCAAACAGTTGTTCCAAGCTGAAATAAAATCCACCATTTGATAAAATCCACCATTTGATATTTTTTTTCCTCCAGATGTTGTCATGTGACAAAACAGAGGTTCTCTCTTCAGAAAATCTCATCACACTTTTCAGAGATGACCAGGTTGATTACAGGCATGAGGAGGTTGCCATTGTGTTACACAAAGATTTCATCAAAGTAAGTTAATTACATATTTTATACGCATTCCCGAATTCCACCCTCCCCCTCTCCCCCAAGTAAGAAAACATGTTTGTTACCTCAGGTTATGAAATGAAGTTTAAGTAAATAATATTGAGACAATTTATTGACTTCAAAATGTGTATTTACTTTTTAAACATTCTAGACACAATGATAGAACTTTATATTTTTTTGGCCATTTGTGGGGGGTTGGCTCATTGATATACCAATGTGGCTATTGTTTGATGTTTATTATGTATGTTTGATATTTTTGCGTGAGTTAGGGATGACATACTTTTGCGTGAGTTAGGAGTGGCATAGTTTTGCATGAGTGAGGGTTTGCATAGTTTTGCGTGAGCGAGAGTTGGCATAGTTTTGTGCTTGAGTGAGGGCTTGCATAGTTTGCATTAGTGAGGCTTTGCAAAGTTCCTATGTCTTGAATAGCAGATTTTAAATAAGAGTGATGAGGTGCTTGTATTATTATTTATAAATAGAAATAACCCGCCAAACAATTGCAGCCGGCAATGCTCATGTGGGAACTCCCATCTTCTAAAGTCAATTAAAAAAATATGCATCTAGAAATACCCCGTCAAACACAACTTGTAAGAATCCCTATTTGTTCCCTATTTTATCTATTTGAACCTATTTATCACAGCATGTTCCCCTTTTGAACACAGTGTTCCAGCCATGCATCGATACATTCATTGCATAAAGAGTTATTATTATTTTTTTTATAAACCTTGTTATATTCACTACTGCTATGTTGATTAATAGGCCATAAGTGGATTTCTAAGCTTTTGGCAACAGAATCTTTTGAATAAATTTACAGGCCCTTGTAAGTAAATATTCTGGCTCAAATATCAGACTGTCCATGAATGTCTACCATGACACAACACTCTTCAAAAATAGTGTACTGGAGAACAACATCAGTAAGCCATCTCTCAACAGTAGAGTCATAGCTGCACATGTAAGTATGAAATCATTTGTGGATATTAGCAGGCTTTATTTTTTAAAAAAAACTTATTTAAAAATTGAACAAATTAACAGTTTTTTAAAAATACCAACTTATTTTAATCCAAATTAGGTTCAAACCATGAGCTCAATTTTATTCAAAATAATTTTTATACATTACACATTTAGTTTTTTGAATTTGTTTTTTTCATAATTTTTACAGGTTTTCTTGAAATAAACATGAATGTCTTGAACTTTAATTCAAATAGAGGAAGATAATCTTTTATTCTTCTGGAATTCTTCTGAAGGGTCTCCAAAAAAAACTAGGCGGCGTCCACATGGGGTTTGCCTCTTTGTGGCATGGCAGACTAGCAGGGTGAACTTGTCCTCTCGAAGTAAAAAACCCTGGGCCGATGGCATGACTCATTATGTAAAAGACATAGTAATGCAATAACATGATTACTTGTTGCCGTTACTGGACATGAAGCTTGGGTGGCGGTAAAAACCCATGCCGATGATTTTAGCTATGCAGCCTTGAGAAAGCTGCTCCAAGGCAACTGTTTCATCCCGGATAGAAAAAGTCCAGATCAAAGGACTCCGTGGGCGGTGGGGCATGGTATTGCAACACCTTTTCTCCAGAGTGGAAGAAAACCCGCCCATAACTTTAGGGAGAGTTGACTGTGAACCTTTTAAATGCAGTTTTAAAATGCGGTTTTCTTGAAATAAACATGAATGTCTTGAACTTTAATTCAAATAGAGGAAGATAATCTTTTATTCTTCTGGAATTCTTCTGAAGGGTCTCCAAAAAAAACTAGGCGGCGTCCACATGGGGTTTGCCTCTTTGTGGCATGGCAGACTATCAGGGTGAACTTGTCCTCTCGAAGCAAAAAACCCTGGGCCGATGGCATGACTCATTATGTAAAAGACGTAGTAATGCAATAACATGATTACTTGTTGCCGTTACTGGACATGAAGCTTGGTTGGCGGTAAAAACCCATGCCGATGATTTTAGCTATGCAGCCTTGAGAAAGCTGCTCCAAGGCAACTGTTTCATCCCGGATAGAAAAAGTCCAGATCAAAGGACTCCGTGGACGGTGGGGCATGGTATTGCAACACCTTTTCTCCACAATAGAAGAAAACCCGCCCATAACTTTAGGGAGAGTTGACTGTGAACCTTTTAAATGCAGTTTTTTCTGTTGACTGGACATCCCCCAGGCTAGGAAAAGGCTCCTAGCGTGCTGCGGCATGTTTTGGCACCAGGGAGACACGGCATCTGGCCAATATGGATGTGTACAGGGGGGGGGGGATTAAAAGCTTGCATAGCTCAACGGCCTTCTACCAACACCATTTCCCAATGTGACATAGTCTTCTGGAGACTTCATTAGAAGCATCATGGTTCTTTTTCCTTAAAAATATAATTTAAATGTGCAACACATTTTTTTCCTCAGCTGATATTGAATGGTCTGCCAATCACTAACCTGGGCCCTTACACTGTCAAGATTGTGTTTCAGCCAATCAAACAGTCCCAGTTGAGAGCTAATCTGACAAAATGTGCCTCATGGGACTTTGAGGCCGAGTCAGGTGCTGGGGGCTGGTCAAGCCAGGGATGTGTGTACAAAAAATCCATTGATGGCAGGGACGTTTGTGTTTGTGATCATCTTACAAACTTTGCTCTCCTCACGGTGAGCATCTTTTTCATATTAACCAGAAATCAACTGTGTATGTGCACACTTTATATAGCATCCATACCTGCTTTGTGTGTGTACATGATCTATAGAAATCTGTGCACATGCAAGCCAAGAGACACGATTTACCCCTTCTTTGTGTGTAGTTCAAGGTGATGATTTTTATTAACTGAACAAGATTTTATCGATAGTTTATACAAGAACTTAACAGTTTGAAACAAATCTGTGAATCCATTGGTTTTAATTGTTGTAACATTGACACTGGTTTCTGTTCCAATAATTTTAACCTTTGACCTTGGTTTCATTTGCATTCATTGAGTGAGTGTATTTTCTAAGGGTGGTCCACATGATTTCCAAAGGCTCATGCATGGTTTAGTTTTTGGTTGCAAATATCCCCCTTACATTTTTAGTATAGATTACTTAAAGTAATTTGAACCTTTTCTATCCAACTAATTTACATCAAATACCCTCTTGAAACTTCAAAAAAATCATGAGTATATAAGCGTTTTTTATGATATTGAACAAATATTTATTTTATTCACTTGTGCAAATGTTGTTCTTCCATAACATGTTTCACTGATGGAAATAGTGGGGAGAAGATTTTGTATTTTTAAACTTTCAGAGTTTCTATGATGAAGTGTGTCCAAAAAATGAGAATGAGTTTGCTGTGACCATCATCGCCATTGGCGCACTGGCCTTATCAATTCTAGGACATTTGTTATCCGTTCTTTCATTCATGCTCATCAAGTAAGTCCTTCATCTTTGAAACCAAGTGTTTCCCAGGTAGATGTATATTATTCAGGGTTCCCGCTGCCTCCTGAAATTCCAGGAGCTCCTGGAAATCTCCTGGAATTTGAAAACAAATGATAAAATCCTGGAAAACTCCTTAAATTTTAAAATTTCTCCTTAAATGTCCTGAAATTTTTGTTTCCACAGAGGGAGGGGTAAAAAAAATCTTGTTCGCGATAGTTATTTTATAAATTAATATTACCGCTATATTCAATTCGTAGTCTATTTTTAGCCATTCATTTATCAAAACGAGTTTGCCATAATAATTCTAGTGGTTTCCCCTTAACTGCGCATGCGCTTTACGAGTTTCGGATATGAAATGTCGTACCGTAATGCTTTGATAGACAAGAAGTTTTTTTCGTTCCGTTCAGTTCGCCGTTCAACTAATTTATTTGGTAAGTATAGTGTAAAATACAGTAAATAGATATTTATCTGTAGTTATTTAAATTTTTGGTAACTATTATTAATATTATGAATAGAAAACTACGCGCCCGATTGCTGTATAATTTGACTAAGCTTAGCCAATTTTTGTTTCTAAAGTTGAAGTTTTGTTAGTTTTACCGTAGTGTAGGTTGTCCAAACTGGAGAAAGCGTAGTTTTAGTTTTGGGGTTATTTTCCGAAGTTTTCAAAAACAAAAATTAACTTACTTATATAGTAGTTTTAAAGGAGTACAATTGATATGAATATGTGAATAAAGTTTAAGTCTTTATCTGACGAATTATCTTATTACTTTTATGTCTTTAACACGAGTTTGAAAAGTATCAGTTTTGACCATTATATTATACGGCGTTTTCGTAAGTATGGTGTTGCAAACGCTCGCGGCTGTTACAGTTTGCAAAGAAGATGAATTTGATTTTTATTTATAAATATTAACAAAAGGTAGTAAGTAGTAGGCCTTTTTTTATAACAATTATATTGACACATATTTTTTTAAACATAGTTTATAGTGAGTGCTAGGCCTTTTTGTAAGTTAAGTTTAGTTAGGCCTTCTAAATAGGAGAATACTAAATAAAAAAATTAAGTTATGTTATTTTTGCATGTTGTAGCATAGTTTACGATGACTTTAAAAATGACTTCGGAACTTCATTTTAAAGTTATTAAAACTAGCTGATGCAACCATTGAGCTTCACATTACTTTACATAGTTAGTCCTTATTTATACACGTAGTTAAAAATTAAGTGATGCACCCCTGTGCTCTAGGTATAGGCCTACTTTGCGGTATTATAAGCACAGTTGGGAGGGGAAGGGGGGGAGACTTCCGAAATTTAAAAAAAAAAAAGTGGTTGCTTGGTCGCTGACCCATTCCCCTGTTTAAAATCCGGACTAAGCAGTTACATAGGCATATGCCTATATTAGTTTCTCTTCTGACTCTGTATTATTATTAATTTAGTACCGGTATAACTTATAATATAGTCAATATTATAGACCTAATATGATAATAAATTAATTCTATTTTATTTCACTATTCAAGGTCTAGGGTAAATAAATGCCCAACGGTTCCTTTGAGGACTGATAATTAAGATAGCAATCCTGATTGAACAAGCCATCACTGCTACTCTATACTAGATATTGACTCTGAACTGAGTCAATCCCAAGCTAGTGGCTAGTGTACTGGAGTTCTATCCCCAGAAAATGCCTAGACAAGCAAAAACATCACCAGCATGCCGGGTAGATGGAACTCGTTAACTTTGAATGGCAACTCAACTTGGAGAAGGAAAACTATGAAATCAAACCCGGAGATGGAGACCCGTAGACGTTATGACATTGACTCAATGAAAATTCTGACAAAATCCTATGACGTAGAAAGCATAAAGAGCATAGTGAAACACACACACACTCAATCTGGTAATCTACTGCATCCTGATCTATATCCAGTCGTCTTGACTAATCTTACCATTGAATCAAATAGGCAACGACGAGAGAGTGGCTCTGGCGAATTGAGCAACTCTCCCTAAATTTCAACAAAATACAGCTCACGTCAAGGCTACTGCTCCAGTCTTAGGGATCTTTATGTGTACAGGACAAAACAAAAATACTGTAAATATATGAAATATATTTGCAGGACAGTTCTCGGATGCCATGAAAATTAGGGGAAAATGATCAACAATGATAAACAACAATCATCTGAGTCTTCCTCTAGTTCAACTTCAGTTTTTTCACCTACCTCGGGTGTCCACTTTTGCAACTTCCTAGTCAAGCTCCTAGGTTATGTGTACCTTCGGAAATAAATATGACTTACTTGTGAATAAAATGGATTATCTTATAACTTTATTAGTTGTTTGTTATCCAACATCAAGTGCATCTTATTTTTAAAAAAAACCAAGTTACTCAATTGTATGTGAACTCGGGGCCAGAATATCTATACCGGTACATACCTAAATCAAATAATTGCTATAGCATTGGCAATCCTTAGAGTAAGTTCAGGTACTATGTAAGTGCATTTATGTCCTGTTACTACAAAAAAATTGTATAAGGGTATAGGGTCTCTCCGTTTTTTACTCTTTAAAAAATGTCCTGGAATTTTGTATTTTCTCCTGGAAAACTCCTGGAATTTGTTTTTAGATTTGGTGCAGGAACCCTGAATTATTAAAATTATTTTTTCCTCTCTTTACAGAATATCTATTAGCTTTTCATACATTATTTTATTTTACATCAGTAATTGTCCAGATATTCACACAATTGATGCTGTGGTAACAAATTTGTCAACCACATGGAATTCTTAACACAATTGAAAAATACATTGTTAGTAATGTTATTATCATGTTCATTTATCGACTCCTTCAATAACTGTTAAAACAAACCAACTCATTCTCTTGTTTTTTTTTTTCAGAAGTGTACGGCAAGATCGAGTTCAAAAGATACAGTTCCAGCTGAGCCTGGCACTCCTCATGTCCCGGGTCATGTTCCTAGTTGGAGTGACCCAGACACTGTCCAACACTGTATGCATCGTATTGTCAGTTCTACTTCACTACATGATCCTGTCCTCATTCATGTGGATGTTGATGGAGGGAATCTTGCAGTATCTGCTCTTTGTTAATGCCAAGAATACATACTTCACTAACTATATGTGGAAGACATCCATACCAGCATGGGGTACGTTACATATATCGAAATCACCATGTGTTAGACATTCGTACCATCATAGGCTTGACAAACTTTCCAGTATAGGGTGGGTACATTAAACACCTATGCCATCGTGGGTTCCATCTCATCCACATCTTTGTATCAGCCTTGGTTATTTTAGACATTCATACAAGCATGGGAGATGTTAGTCATCTATATATGAATGGGGTGCATCATATTTTTGACACAATATCACCATGTAGAATAAATGAAATACTCACTTACTAGGGTTCCTTTACTTCCTTCCATTTATATTCTAATTTGAAATCTTAAATTAATTGTACATTAACAATACTTAAATTCTTTAAATAGGGTTTGTCATTTCTATGAACAGAAAACGTCACATTGCATTATGGGATGTTACTATTTTTAGACAATGTTTTGTTAAACATAGCTTCTACTTCTAAGGATGTATTTCCAAGTTAATATAGCAGGAAATTTTTAAAAATAAAATCTTAAGTAAAATAACGTTGTAAACACGTTTTCGTCTAGGTTAAGACCCACTATGCTGGCTCACATAACGTAGTTGTTACCAAGCAGCTGTTGAGAAATTAGCCAATTGGATACCAGGACGTTTTATTAATATCTTCATGAGATTGGCCAGACTTTATGCCCAGGTGTTCTATGAAAATATTTCCTCCATTAAATGACAAATGTCTAGTACTTCTGGCTATAATAAGTACATTGCCTATAAATATAAATTCTACACATACTATTTTTTAAAATAAAAACAGTATATTTAGGCTTTAATTATCATGAGAGAAAATAAAAAAAATTAACATATTGTTTAATGCCTTTATCAGTACAAAAAATAAAATTAGTTTAAATTAAATTTTACATAATATATTAATATCCTACATACTATAATATACAGTATTTTCAGGCATTTTAAAAGGTGTATGGCTTACAAGATTTAATTGGTTTTCAAGGATAAAGATTTTTTTCCCCATGACACAAAATAAAATAGAAGCTAACTCTTTTCATGCCAGGGGGTTTTCCACATTTGCGCCAGACCAGTTTTCGGCCAATGAAATTATTTTATTATTCTCTAATCCATAAATGAATTTTGAATACCTTTTTTTTATAGCAAAGATAGTTGTATAGAATAATAATAGGTAAAAGATAAAACAATACGACAATAATAGTTTACATTCTATTGGTAATATTATGAGATCAAAATTTAATATTTTAAAAAATGCACACCAAATCTGAACTTATAGGACTACTATATGGTCTGTGTATGTGGTATCTTATTCTGCTTCAATCATCAGAAAAGATCAGAATGCATTTTACATTTTAAAAAATATTCCATTTAGTGAGTTACACACATTTTGTATTGTTTAAGTCAACAGAAGAAAACAGTTTCTTTTCATATGTAAATACACACATATGTCAAACACATTATTTACAAAATATTTTACTTTAGTACAAATTTCTTTCTGTGTGGTCCTTTCTGAAGCACTACTTAACACACCAATAGGCCTTCCTGTGCATTCAATGCACACATAGCAGCCACATTTGTTTATTTTGTTCACTGATCAGTTTGCACATTGTCAGTCATGCCTGTCATAGCCAACCAGGTGATTATTTTCACTGAGATCTCATCTGCACTGTTGATAGGCATTTTCCCTGGCTTTGATAGGATGAGCAATTACTAGGGGAATTGGTGTTTCAGGGTTCTGGGCTTTTGAAACTATTCTTGCTGCATCTTTTCTGCCTAATTTCCGACTGCTCTTTGCAGGAACAGGAGTAGTAATATCTGAATCCTCAATGTCGCATTGTAAAAAAGTGGTTTTTAGATCCTTACTAATAAATTCATAACTTTTGAGCCACTTGAGCTAGAAAGTTGAACTTGGTGTTTTTGTAATCCATACTGTATGCTCTTTACAGCTGAAGAATTTATATTTTATAAAATGTTTTAAAAGTTTTACCAAAGTGCCGACTGTCACTACTATTACTCTCTTCCTCTATTTCCATTTGGCATTTACTGACCCATCTGAAAGCTGAAAATCATTACTGGAATCAGATTCAAATGATGGTTACTGTCCAATGTTTCAGCATCAATAATTTGCAATAAAAGCTATTTTTGTGTAGACTTGACTACCTAAATAAATAGGAAAAAAAAGGTCAATATTATTCGAAAAAACAAAATTAATGTTAAGAAACCCTACTTCCAACAGGAAGGAAGAGATTTTGTTCATTTTAGAACATTAAAAGTAGAATTGATAGTCGTAGGTTATAAACTACAGGAATTAAATAGACTAAAGATTGTCAATAGGCACAAATGCAGCCAGTCAAATATATTGTCAATTGGCAGAAAGTGTTAAATCCTATATTTGGTCCATTCACAATGACCTTTAGTTTTGTTTTGATTAGTATGACTGACGTTAGGCCAGTATCTACATAATATACTGATAGCTTTTACAGGAATCTTTATTATAATTGCTACTTTGAGTAGCGAACTACCCCAATAACAAATATATTTATGAAATAATCTTAGTAACTGCAGTTTCAGTTTCTCTTAATTTCTATTAAAATATTTAATATTTGATTTTGCTAAAATTAAATAGCTTTATTTGTAATTATTTTTAAAACAGATTAATAATAAAATGTTATACATAATTGGATTCAGAATTTAATTTTCTATTGATACCAATTATGAGATCACTGTTAATTATAGTTTTATTTATGGCAAAAATTTTAGGTTTTTAGGTGTGCTATTTATTATTTACATCAATGGTATCCATTTTCACAACATAGACACATTTCAAGCAATTTTACAAACACTTGTATTCATCATGCCACTTTTAAAAATACTAAAATAAATTATAAAAAATTGTGAATTTTAAAAATTACCTTTTAATGTTAAAGAATATAAGGCAAGTATTTCATGACAGAAATCTGTGATTTTTAGGTACTGATATAAGTGGAGATAAATAATTTTAACATATTTTATAAAATAATACACCACATTGGGTACAAATAAACAAATATCAGTATGAAAATTGACAATTTCTATTTTCCAGAAAACTCATATATTTTAACAAAGGCAGCAAGCACATTAAGTCCTAAATCTTCTATCAATTGTATAAATCTGATAGATTTTTCACATTATTTCTTTACTGTAAGTAACCATTGCAGTTTAAACATCATGCCATTGCTGTGTTATAATCATTCATATTGCAGCTGCAGAAACATGAGCATTGTCAAACAATGTGTGTCACTGCCTGATTAATTCCAATAAGGAACTAAAAAGACTACCAGATCTTTTTAATTATTAATTATTCAAGATATCCATTATATCATGGGAAAAAAATAAATATTGACTTTAAGCCTAACAATAGAAAATTAATAAAAATGAAAGAATAAGCCTAGACTACTGTTGTTTTCTTCTACTAATCATATTGTTGTCAATATTATTTGTATTTCTTCAAAAGCTGATGTATTTCATCAACTAATTTTATCACACTCCAATCAACAGAACTATTTAAACTGTTTTGATATTGAATCTGCCAGGACCAGTAGTTATTAAACCATAAAAAATTCATTATTCAAATATTAAGTGGTAAATTAAGAGGCTGATCATGGGAAAATGGCAAACTATCACCCCATCGGACGTCTCATAATGACAGATCTTTTAATCGCTATGGGTAAGGTATCTGACTTCACAATGTTTTAAAATTTCATTGCTATCAAATGCTTATCACACAATTTTTTTTTCAATTCTAGGTCTACCTGTTATTTCTGTTGCAACTGTTTTCATCAAAGACCCTGAACTTTATTCTGGTGGAACCAAATGGTAGGTAAAAGTATATATTTTTTTTTCAGAACTGTTGAATTGTTTATTTATTCTGATTGTAAATGTCTGTTCTTTAGTAATATGCAACATTTTTCAAATTTAATTAAACAACCCATAAAAACAAAGCTTTTCATATGAGTATCACACTTGATAAAAATCTCAAATAGTGCACGCTACCCCCCCCCCCCCCCCACAACCGGGTATCATAGAATGCATAAAAATAAAGAATCTCATTTAGCGCAGTTATCTGGAATTTTCTTTCATGTTCCCCATGAAAAATAGGAGAAACCTGATTTTTGGGGTTGCAGGGTGGATTGTGAGGCTGAAGATTTGATAGAATGTGTTGTCATCGTCAACGAGACTATGTGCCAAGTTTCAGTTTCAAAGGTTTACAGGAAATGGGCCAATTAGCTGTCCAAAGATTTTGCCAGCCACCCAACCAGCCACCCATGAACAAAAGCAAAAGTGATATAAAGTTAATAAAGGATTTTAAAAAAATGCCCTCTCTATAATGATCATTGTGAACGTAAATAGTGCCTTACTAGGAATAGGATATTGTATTTGAAATTAATCTTCATTAAATTGAAGATATCCATTGTGTCTCATCATTTTTTTGGCTTAGACATATTTTAATGATTATAGACACTGATATTTTAGCATATGTCTTGGTCTTATTGTAGTAATATAATATTTTTAGAATAGGTCAGATTAGGCTACTTTAACCTTAAAGACTTAATTACTAATTATATCATGAAATCTATTCAAAAGATATTTACATTTTTATGTCTGTTTATTTCGTCCAAAGTAACCACTTTGTCTCATTCTAATTTGCATGTGTCTATTTTGTACAAAGTAGCCACTTTGTCTCATTCTAATTTGTATATGTCTGTTTATCTCATCCCAAGCAGTCACTTTAACTCATTCTAATCCCCAGCTGTTGGATGTCACTGCCATCCCTTATCTACACCTTTGTTATCCCCGTTGGCCTGATTGTCTTGACCAACATCATCATTTTCATCATGATTGAGGTCAGCTTGTGCCGTAGGAAGGACTTGATTCAATACACATCGGTTGGTCAGAATGAGACTGACGTCAATATAAGGGCTTCGTTCATCTGTTTTTGTGTGCTGAGTGAGTGCAGTTACATAAGTGCCTGGTTGTAATTCTGGTAGTTGTTGTGGACAAATCAAACAGTAATTGAACAATACCCATAATAATATAAATAAACTGCATTTAAAACAATAATGTTTCAATGTCCACATAATTTATCATCTAACATTTAATTTATTCCTGATTGATTTTAATAATAATATAGGTTATATTAATTAATGTTACCCAATTTTTTTGGGAACACTTGTGATGGATTTTAATTTTTAATTTTTGAAGTTTAAAAAATACTCTCATATGATATGGAAATATTTTGTCCAAGGTAGGGTAAAACCTGAAAAGAGGTCTCATATATTATGTAAGATAATGATTTAACTGATTGAGGAGGGAGAAAATTCTGCTAAAATAATGTTTATCATTAGCCAAAGTTCAAGGAATAGAATTTAGCCTCCTATGGACATTTAGATCGACATCATGTCACAGAAGAATGTGCTTCAGCTGCATCAAAACATCATATTTGTTGGAAATCGTTGTAACTTTGCTCAAGACAAAAAAAAGTGTACAAATATTATGGAAATGGTGAATTGAGTTTCTCCTATGAGAATAACATTCCATCAAGTCCATGAGTAATTTAAGAACATTTGAATAGTGACGACATAAGTTCTATGAAAACACAAACACAGCACAAAGGTTATGTTTGTATATTTAATACTTCTACATTTCATTGTGTGAATTTCTTCTGTAAAGAATAATAATCATATTACTGGTAACTATAATTCTGAGCATGCTTAAAATTGAATAAGACAAGTGTGGGTGGGGGGTGGGGGGGGGAAACGGCTCAGGATAGGTTTATTACTTATTTTGTGTGTGTTAAGAATATTTTTTAGAAACACTGTTATTAATATATTGATTTTCTACTGATTATAAAAAAAACATGGCCGCAATACATCTTACAGTTTTGTTTACTTACCGTTTCAGGTCTGCCCTGGATATTTGGTTTCCTTGCCATAGACGATGCCCCCGGTGTTTTCCAGCTCATATTTTGTATATCTGCAGCACTGCAAGGCTTTGTTATTTTTTTGATGATGACTGCACGAGATAAAACTGTGTCTGCATTTTGGTTCTCAAAGTTGTCCCTGCTTTGGATATACCATAAAAGAATAATATATAGAGGAAGTTACAGCTTTCAGGGTTAGTTTTTCATTCATTCTAATTATGGCATATGAAAGTGAAATAAGTTTTTGTCGACCCGCTGCACCTATTTTGGGGCTGTATTTATTTTTTTTCTGTATTTATTGTGGGTAAACATTTATTCTGGTGCTGCATTTATTTGGGGGCTGCATTTATTGTGAGTCTGTATTCATTTTGGGGAGGCATTTACTTTTGGTCTGTATTTATTCTGGTGCTGCATTTACTTTGTGGAAGCATTTTGTGGGGGGCTGGCTTTTATTTTCCGGCAACATTTATTTTGGGTTGACATTTGTTTTCAGTCAGCATTTGTTCTGGGTCCGCATATTCTGTCCATTTCCATTACCGGTACCTTATTTTGGCTTTTTTATTCTACAGAATAATGATTGATTTAAGTACAGTCACAATATATCCAATTCCTTTAGAATAATATCATTTGATCAGCTGCCACCTTGAAATCCATTACAATATATCTTGTCTTCCAGTTCCGCCTTATCTATATTTAGAACTATGTATTCTACTCCAATGCGAAATAGTGCTTTTTCTCAACTGTTAATGTACATCAAATATCGTTATGCTACACACATGAAAGAAAAAAAATGAAGGGGTTCTTTAATTGCTTTACTGTTAGAAGCAAAGGAATGGATCATAATCATTGGTATCTTACTGCTCCCTGGAGCTTCCAAAATGCAAATTAATTAAAAAAAAAAAAGAAAGATATTAATTTGTACTATAGTTGCTGTGAATGATATAATTTCTGTGCTATAAGTTCTTCCTTGGCTGAAATGGTTTCTTTTCTTAATCTTCTAGAAAAAGAAATCAAGAGAGAGGCAGAGGCTGGTGAGCTCATCAAATTTAAATCCCGGGAACAGTTATAACAGTCAATCTACAACTGTCAGTGACGGCCCAGTTGCAATGACAACAGCAAATCTACAACCGTCATTGACAGCGTATTTAAAAAGATATTGTGCTGTCATCTCATGAAAATGTTAAACAATTGACTTTTCTGATTTTTTAAATCTTGATCAGATTTTCTTTTAAGCAATAGTCCTTATGAGTTTAGAGAAAATAATTTTTTTTTAATTATAAATTTTAATAAAAAGTATTATTTCCAAGATTTAGAAAATTTCCAAAACTCGTTAATCAATTCTTCAATCACATCTAAGAAAATTGAATTTGTATTAGAGGTATTGTATCAATGAGAAAGAATTGATCTTTGAAAAGAAAATTCTGAGAATAGGAAATTGAAAATGACCAAGATTAAATTATCTTGACATTGGGAGCTGAGGCATTTGGGGAGCAGAGCAGAGCAGAGCACTAGACATATTGTTTTAATCATATGACATAATAATATACCAAGATAGTGGTGTGTATATTTAATTGAAGAATCCGGTTTTTTTAAGTTCCGGTAACTCATCTTATGGGAATTGAAACTGATCAGATCAATTTGTAAAGGTTTAGCCAAATAGTAAAATGTAAGGTGAGTGACGTAAAAGAATGTCAATTTTTTTTTTCAACAGCACAATGTCACTAGATTTTTTTTTTCATATAGGGTACTGGTATGCTACTTAAATGCAAAATAATATTTGATGGCTACATTCAAGTTGTGTGAAGTAAGTAATGGATTAGCTTAGGCTTCAAAAATCAAAAAAAAAAAAAAAATCCAAAGGAACAGGTCAGCTAAAAGGACATTTCAACTCAACAGCTTCTCCAGCAGAGAATACAAAATGAGAAATAAATTATTTGAAATTAAAAGTGTTCCCAGGTCACAAAGTAGCTCTTTTATGTAGCTCTCTTTCTGGTAATTAGTTAATACATCTGATTTTATTTTTAATATGATGTGTTCTAAGATCTAAAATACCAGGTTCTTAAGTCTTTTTTAACTTTTCTACTTTTTGAAACGTTGAAATCAAGACCCTGTTGCGTAGGCTTGAGAAGAGGGCATGTCTGTTGAAAGTATTGAGGGATGGAAGTGATCAGGGGAATAGCTGTGTATGCCTTAAGATTATGGATGTCTTTTGTGGCGATTCTTTAGGTTTTAAATGTTTGTGTTTAAAAATGTATCCAAGCTCATTGAGTAAGCATGTTAAATTTCAATAAAATAAAGTTATACATTAAAAAAAATGGATTAATTATGATTGTTTTTTCATATGTAAAAAATATCACAATAAATTTGGTGCATTATACTCATACAGTGGCGTTACTAACTAAGGTTGCTTATTACCGTATAAATACATAAACAATGAAATGCAGGTCTGAGAGCTATAGCTTTTATTCTTTAGGTACAAGCCATTGAACAGACAGTCAAATCTCTCACACAAGCAGCCGTCCTGATGTATCCTTTACTCTCAACAATCGAAAAATTTCCACACTCCAAGACCCAGTTTGCCTCTTCCGGGTTAAATTTAAATCACTCGCCTTATAAAGCCCACAGTCACAGGGAACTTATTTCTCCCTTTCCGGTTTCCACCAGACCACCACCTCCACATTTCTTCCTAAGCCACTGAAGGCAGTGCACATTTTTATCAATCTCCCTTGTAAAAAAACAACTCTGCAGTTAGCCTCATCCCCATCCTACGTCACTCAATTCATTGAGCAAAAAAAAAAAAAAAAAAAAAAAAAAATCCAAGAATTGAAGCCATTATTCTCTTGTTCCATTTTGTTATTTAAACGGGGAATAATTTTATAGTTACAATATAATGAGTTAGTTCCCTTTAAAACTGGGGTTTAAGCAAGTGAGCTGCAAGTGTCTCCCAACGTGGGCCCTACGCCCCACAGGGGAGCAATTTGATTGTTAAGGGGGATTAAGTGGGGCAATTCGAAAAGGAGCTCTCCAGGATATGAAAACCAAACGTCTTGATGCGCATTTAAAGGCCAAACATAGTTGTCATATTATTTCATAGTTAAATTACTTTCAAACATATAATACAAAGAAAACATTTGGAAAAAGAATAATAATACCGGTAATAATAAAGTTTATTTGAAAACACGCTTCACCCGCTTCATCCCCAAAAGCTTGAAGCGCGGTACAAAGTCAACCATATTAAAAAGAGAAATAAAAACAATCTAAAATTTACCACATTACAAAAAAAATAGACGCAAAAAAAAAAAAAACTACATACGAGCATACCAAGTCAAAGTCCCCAAAAGCTTGAAGCGCGGTAAAAAGTCAACCAAATTAAAAAAAAAAAAAAAAACAAACCAAAATTTACCCAATTACAAAAAAAAAAAACGCAAAAAAAAAAAAAACTACATACGAGCATACCAAGTCAAAGTCTTTCATCCCGTTTCAACCATAAGCAACACAAGCCAATGTACATTAACTGAAAAATATGGCAGATAGCATCACCCCAGAAGGTGTTTGCGAAATAGATGTGTTTTTAAATCGGTTTTAAAGGACTCCAGTGTCTGGCTGTTTCTGAGAGCGACTGGAAGGGCGTTCCAAATTGTCAGGCCGGCAAATGCAAAAGTGCGCTTTCCGTAAGTCTCAAGGCCAACACACGGTATCGATAATTTGCCACTATCAGATGAGTGGAGCTGTCTAGTGGGTACATTAGGCGTCATGTGTGCTTTAAGACAGGACGGCGCCAGGTCATGTAAGCAGCGGTAGCACAAAGTTGCAATTTAGTACTCTATGCGAGCGTGGGCCGGTAGCCAGTGCAGCTCTCTCAGAAGTGTTTCAGCATGGTCAAATTTGTGTTTGCGAAGAACAATGCGGGCCGCATTATTTTGTGCTCTTTGAATTTTATCCAGGAGCGTAGCTGGGAGACACAATAATGAGAGCATGGCAGTAGTCCATGTGTGATAACACGAATGCAGACATCAGCCTAATGACTAATCCTGCGCAGCTCTAGAAAAATCGCCTTGCAAAGCATGTTGAAGTAATTTTCCATAGTTAGTGTTCTTTCTAAGTAGACACCCAGGTTACACACTGTTTGACAAATTTAATCTGCATACCTGAGAGAGTAAGTGATGTTGTGTGTGTGTTTTTTTTTTTTACAGAGTTTTGTTTCTGAGCAGTTGCAATGGGGATCAGCTCAGTCTCTCCATCGTTCAATTTGAGCTTATTTATGGTCACCCAGTGCTTAACTGACTCCACTGTCTTCTGTGTCATCCCGGTACTAAGAAGTTGAGGGAACTGAGAGAGGATCACGGATCGATGAAGTTGTGTATCATCGGCGAACATGTGATATAGCCTGTCAAACTGCTTGATCACTGCACCCAGGGGCTGAACGTACATAGTAAAAAGCACCGGGCCTAGGACCGAGCCCTGGGGTACTCCGAATTCAATAATAGATTGCTTCGAGGTCAAGCCGTTTTAAATAACTGACTGGACCCGATTTGTCATATACGAGTGAAACCATCTCAGGATGGTATCGTTGAAACCGAAAGTTTTTTGCAGACGCTGGAGCAGTATGCCGTGGTCAAGCGTTACGTCTCTGTTTACTGCTCATACTGCACCTCTTAAGGCTAATTATGAAATCTCTTTACTTATAGCTAATTCTGGAGAAAAAAAAATTATATTACCGGGTACAGGAGAGAATTCAATCATGCTATCAGCATTTCTTAAATTTTTTCTGGAAAAAAGATGACAAAGACGTGATTGCTATGCCACTTGGTAACAATACTGTTAACAAAAAAAAAATTTTAAAAAAATAAATTTTAAAAAAATAAATAGATAAATAAATGAATTAAGAGCGTATTTCGAAATACAACTTGTTGAAAAGCTGAACATAAAAAAAACAAAAAATGCTCAGTGCAAATGAATGAGCCATCTTTGAGAGTCAGTGAGGCCGTACTGATAAATGACTTCAGATATTGAAGGGCTCAAGGGAAAAAACCCAGTGATGTCAGGTTTTGAGAGTTTTGAGAAAATTGAATGTAAAGTTTCAAAATTCCTCATAAATGTATGAAAATATCAAGATGTCTACGTATTTATTTATTGACTACGCTGCTTTTTCAGTTGGACCTATGTATCATATTATTCTATTAAATGGAATGTAGCCAC